CTTATGCTGCTAATATTACTATTGCTCATTAAATTTTCCTTTGTATAATGCAGTATAAATACACAGGGAACATTTATGTTCAGTTTGTCTTTCACATATTTCCTGTTAGTAGCAATAGTATAAACTCCACAGCTCCACACAATGGTTCTAGCTAGTGTCGGTAAGTTCTTTCACATGGGAAGTATATGCTATATGTAATTTTGTAGGAATATCTTGTAATTTTACAACCAAGTATATATTTCTGTACACTATAAGGAACTTATCATTGTTGCTTTGGATCCTTACAAACAAAATCCTAAAACCCAACCTATAAAAAACCTTTTCTTTCACTGATTCTAATAACAGATAATACATGTAATAATCATTCCTAAATCTTTCTCATATTAAGAACATTTAAGGCAGGATCCTGAAAAAGCTAAAATAGGACTCAAAAGAAGTGCTATTTTCAATAACTAAGTCTATCCAGTGTTCACATCAAATGTTTCAAGAGTAGGATGGAGGACACAGGTGATAGGAATGAGGATAAAAACAGATTTAAAAGACTAGGGCTTAAGTTTACATGTTTAAACAGACTTGAAACTACCAGTCACTGAATATATGGGTTAGACTGACATCTTACTATACAATGTTTGAACCGTTTTTGGATACTGAAAACAATAGTTAAAAGATCACTTATCGGCCGGGCGCGGTGGCTCACGCCTGTAATCCTAGCTCTCTGGGAGGCCAAGGCGGGTGGATTGTTTGAGCTCAGGAGTTCGAAACCAGCCTGAGAAAGAGCGAGACCCCATCTCTACTAAAATTAGAAAGAAATTAATTGGACAACTAAAAACATACAGAAAAAATTAGCCAGGCATGGTGGCGCATGCCTGTAGTCCCAGCTACTCGGGAGGCTGAGGCAGGAGGATCGCTTGAGCCCAGGAGTTTGAGGTTGCTGTGAGCTAGGATGACGCCACGGCACTCTACCCCAGGCAACACAGTGAGACTCTGTCTCAAAAAAAAAAAAAAAAAAAAAAAGATCACTCATCAATTCATTCACTGATTCAATAGGTGGATACCGAACACCTACTGGGAAGAACTATAGTAAATACTGCTGTAAGTGGAAATGGCAAACAGTTGTCATGACACATCCTGCTTAAGAAAAGGAGGTTAAGACATAAAAATAACTGAAATGAGATAAACTATAATGAGTATGGTAAAAGAAGTTCATATATAATGCTATGAGAATTCATAGATAATAGTAACAATCTTGGGACATGGGAGGCAAAGAAGTAGGCTCAATCAAAGATGACCCTAAGGTGTTTCAAACAAATAATTTAAAGAATACAGTACCATTAAAAAAAAGGACAAAAGAAGAGGTAGCAAAAGAAGACAGTATGTTCAGTTTTAGACATATTTACTTTGATATGTAAGTTGAGATGTCTAGTAGGCAAATGAGGATTGAAATTCATTAATGAGGTCAGTCCTGCAGACATAAGATTTGAGATATAAAGGTATATATGGGGTACTCTCAGTAGAGGACCATTAAGTCAGATAGAACACCAAGGAAAGCTTTAAACAGCACATGATATTAGAGTATAACTTCAGAAGATGAAGAGAATTAGTTCTAAAACAATGGGTAAATACATGAGGAGGAATGAGGGGGTAGAAAAAGCATGGGTGGATCCAAGGAGGCATAAAACATGCATGGCATGACTAGAGCAAAAGTTGTATGCATATGGGAAGAGTACGATACAAAGAAAGTAAGAGAATCAGGAACCAGATTATGGAGCGTTTCATATCCTTATCCATGGAATCTGAACTTCATCTTAAACACCACAAAGAGCATGAAAGGTATGGTCTGATTTAATTTTCAGAAGATCATTTTGTCTAATGAGGAAGTGAGACTGCAGTAAAGGGGGTATACAGGAGGCAAGGTAATCAGTTTGAAGGCTACAGCAAGAATCTAAGTAAAAGTGATGAAGATTGAACTAAGGCAGTGGCAAAGAAGAGGAAGAGAAGCAACCATCAATCAGCTACTAAGGCGGCTGAATGTTTTAGGACTTGGTAATTCAGTAGAACATGCGGGTATAAGTAAGAAAGAGGAGTGTAGAAAAACTTCTAAGTTTCTGGCTGGGTAGACAGATGGTCGTGCCATTCCCGTAGATGTGGAATTCAGAAGTAAATCTGAGGGGGAAGATGTGGTCTCTGAAACACTGCATTTTGAGGTAACCGTGAGACATGCAAGCGCAGATGCTCAGTAGGCAGCTGAACATATAGGTCTAGAGCACAGCACAGAGGACGAGCTAGGAATATATATTTGAGTTACCAATTGCAAAGATGAATATGGAGTGATGCAGACAAAAAGAATGTAGAGTGAGAAGAGCAAAGGACAGAGGCTATATTTAAGGGGCAAGGAAAGAAAAGGAGCCCACACAGAAAGACAAGAAGAGCCAAGATGGAAGAAAACCAGGAGAGGTTGATACTACAGAAATGGAGGGAGGAAAGTATTTCAAGGAAAAGTTTTTGATAGTTTTGAACGTCCTAAGGGTCAAATGAAGAAAAGAGATCACTGGATCTGGCAAGCTTCAGTGGAGTGCTGAGGACAGAAATCAGATTGCAAGGAATTGAAGAGTGAAAAAAAGATGAGGAAGTATTTGATCAAGAGAGGTATTTATCATTATTATTACTAAAGATGAAAGAAACAGGAATAACTTTATATGTTAAAGGATTAAAAAAAAGGGAGAGAGTTTAAAGATACTAATGAAAAGGAATGGGTTCCAAGACAGAGAGAGGGGAATTGTTCTTGAACAAAAGATACATCTTTCACTGAACTAGAAGGAAAGCATAGGCATGCTAATGTTTACATGTGGAAAGAAAGGAAGTAGAAAAGTTCTTGCTCTTGCTGGGTATGGTTGCTCATGTCTATAAACCCAGCTACTTGAGGAAGTTTTGCTTGAGCCCAGGAGTTCGAGGTTGTAGTGAGCAATGATCACATCATTGTACTCGAGCGTGCGTGACAGAGTGAGATCCTATCTCATAAATAAAGGAATGAATGAATGAATAAATAAATAAAATTTTTTTATAAAAGAAATGTTCTTGCCTGATGGTCTTGAATTTCAAAGATAAAGTAGAAAGTCAAGTCATTTGTGAGAAGTGAAGGTAGCAGTAGTAGTTTTAGGAAAGGAGGTGAAAAATTGGAAAAGCTCCTAAGAGAACAGATAAAAAGCTAATTAGAGACAGAGAAGGACCCTGTGGATCTACAGTGATAATCAATCTGTATGTCTATGTGATCCTTTCTGGAAGAGCTCAACAGTCCAGGTATAGAAACAGTAATACAGATTTGCTAGATGGTTAGAATAGAAAAACAAAGAGCAATAACACACGAATGACAAAAATTCATGGAGGCAGAGACAGGTCAAGGAGGGAGTAAAACCATCAAGGACAGGGCAGACTTTCCAAAATGTAGTAGGGATCTGAAATGAGTCTAAAAAGCAGATGAGAATAAGGAAGTGAGAGAAAAAGAAGGGTAAGATATTGCAGTAACAGAATGGAATGCTGGTTGAAATTCTGGGAGTAGAGAGTAGTCTTGGGCACGGGTTCAAAGTGGAGTGGAATATGAAGGGTCATTGGAGGTGAGAAATGCTTAATGTTTAAAGACTCGTCTAAAGGGCTGACTCATCAAATTGCCAAAAATGACTCTAGGATTAAGTATACTAAGATCCAAGAACAGCATCTTTTCTCAAACATAATCATGTAATAAACATTTGTCAATGTCTTTCATTCTCATTGAATATGTAAGGAGTGACCAGGGGTTCATTTTAAAGAACAGAAGATAAGCACAGCTTGGATGGTACAAGTGTCAAAGGAAGTGGTTTTAAATGACAGTGGAGGAGTAATGACTGCAATTGGAAATGGGAAGCAAGAGGACTGTTTCCCTTACTATAGGTTCTTAGTAAACAAAAAACTGAACTTCTTCTGTATCAGGGGTTAGCAAGCTAGGGCCTATGAGATCTGGCTGCTTAACCCTCTTTTTATTAATAAATAAAATTTGTTTGGAACATATGCTCATTTTTTTCTATATTGTCGGTGGCTGTTTTTATACTACAATAGTATTGTTAAGTAGTTGCAAAGAGATTGTATGCAAAGTCAAAATATTTATTATACTATCTGGCCCTTTAAAGAAAAGGTTTGCCGGACTCTGCTCAATAGGCAGGGGGCAGGGGAGATGGGGTCGGGTGGGAAAAATCTAGGTTTCAATTATGTCTCTACTTTGAGAAGGAAGTAGAGATAGCATTTTTTGATGGAAGTAAAGGTGAAGGCAGTCTGTTTCCCTCAGATGGAGATTTCAAAGGATGCTGGAAAAAATATGCTGGTAAGATGTATGAAGATGAGTCAGGGGAGATGGTAAGGTCAGAGGTAAGATCATCTATACAGGGTAAGAATGGCAAAGGAGCAGTTAGAGACTTCAGGCTGTAAAAGCCTTGAATATATATGCAAGATGAAGAATATATACAGTAATCAGTTAATAAGAAATGAGTAACAAGATTCATCCAGTAGTGAGAACTGTAGAGGGAATAATTACTAACAGTTTAGTTTCTGACATTTATCAGAAATGTTTGATAGCCCTGGAATAGGGAGGCAGAAAAACATGTGGCAGTTTATAAAAAGGGCTGAGCACTGGGGTGGGAGACACTTAGGAAAGGAGGGCAAGGACATACCGAAGACTACTTAGAACACGGAGACTAACAAAACTGGCACTGAATTACAAATGCTAAAATTTTTAGGATAATTTCAAAGTAGATATGTAACTCATAAAAGAGAAATATAATCATGAAAAAACTAAAGAAGTACTTTATGAACTGCTTAGTCTTAGTTGTGAGTGGGCCATTTCATTAAAAAATTACAGTAGAATGATACTTTTTTAATCACCGAAAAGACATGTTGATAATTTATTTGATAAAAGTCAATTTTAGAAAAGGTCTTCATGTACATGTGTTCTAAACTGTTAACTATATACTTACCTGCTTTATTACTAAGCTTATATAAAAAAGTCTGGCGAGGGTCTGAGTGATCTCGACATGTCAGTTGCAAAAGTGAACCTGATTTTTTCCATTTCTGCATAAACCAGAGACCTAGAGAGTGATATATAAGTATAAATGGAAATATATAGGAACATATACCAAGATCATTAATTTAAAGAAAACAACATCTCCCAAATTAGCACTTTTGTTGGCTAATAAATAATATTTGCAGAATTTTCTGTGTTCTGGTAACATATAAACATACATGGCATAGATTAACTATGGATTAATAGTGGTTGATGGAAGGCTTGCTATTTCTAGCTCATTCAGTAATAAAATAGATAATAGCATATGAAGAACAAATATGGGAAAACTGTGACTTTAGATATATTTGTTCAAATTATAAAGAAGCAGAGGGAGAAAAACTTCAAACACAGTAGTTGGTCCAAATGCCTAAACACTGAGTTTTCAGTCTATAGATAATTACAGATAAGTTATGACAGACCAAGTGCCAAAGGACCAACCCTTAGAATGAAAAATTGTTTAGTATTTTCTAATGATAGCTGAATATAATTTGTTTTATATTTAATTGTATTTTTTTAGATCATCGGTAACCCATATTTAAATGTATCTTTCCCTTAAAGAAATTAAGTGAATGAAATCTTAAATCACTCTGAAACTGGTTTAGAAAACTATGGAATATTCATTTCAACTTTTATTGCTTCCAATATTATAGAGGGGAGCAGGGGAAGAAAAGAGTGGGGAAAAAAACCCTTTAATTGATTAAATCTGATAGTTGGAAGCATATCTAGGAAAAAGTTTAGTGAAGAAAGAAATTCAAATTACTGCATCCTATTCATGTTGGGTTCTATTTTGTATTATTAAGAATTTCGTCCGGCCGGGCGCGGTGGCTCACGCCTGTAATCCTAGCTCTCTGGGAGGCCGAGGAGGGCGGATTGTTTGAGCTCAGGAGTTCAAAACCAGCCTGAGCAAGAGCGAGACCCCGTCTCTATTAAAAAAAAAAAAAAAAATAGAAAGAAATTAATTGGACAACTAAAAATATATAGAAAAAAATTAGCCGGGCATGGTGGCGCATGCCTGTAGTCCCAGCTACTCGAGAGGCTGAGACAGGAGGATTGCTTGAGCCCAGGAGTTGGAGGTTGCTGTGAGCGAGGATGACGCCACGGCACTTTAGCCCGGGCAACACAGTGAGACACTGTCTCAAAAAAAAAAAAAAAAAAAAAAAAAGAATTTCACTTTTCTCATGCCCTCTTTTTGAAACTGTAAAAATCTAGAACTGGCTGTACTTTGAAATCACCAATTTGAAATGGGATACAAAGGAAAATGGTACAGTTTGTCAATAAAAGGAAGTGGAAAAGAAAATGGAAATAAGGATTTCAGGGATAATAAAAAGAGACAGAATGAAATCTAACTTATTCTCACAATGGTGACCAATTGACTAAATTACAAACCATTTTTTAAAATTTAAGGGAAAAATCAAGTCAAACAAAAGACACATCAAGTATCAAATATTTCTCCATGAGAATATACTAATCAAAATTAGGGTCTTAACTTTCATTTTAACTTCTTTAGAAATTTTGAATTAATTTCTTAAAAATTATATTCTTATAATATCTTTATTATTACCAAAATAAAGAGTTAACATTCTATATAAAACATTTTACAACTTTATAATGTATTACATACAGTTCTTTACTTGTTATCTGTTCAACTAATGGAATGGCAAAATAGCTTATTTATATGATAAGCTAAAATAATTAGAGTTTAATGGAAAAAAGGAAAAAAAATGCTCTTGTGACTTGACAAATGCCATCTTAATAGGAGAATAATCATTTCCTGAAATGACTTTTATCTACTTATTTCATGTAAACAACAAAATGGAAAATTAGCTACATTTTTTGCTTCATGAAATTCCAAGTATGTGACAAGTTGGCTCGAAAATAAACACCAGAAAATACTAAATACATATTTAAATTTCCCCCAACATCACATTTTTTATACAGAACAATAAAACTTTTTACCTGTATTAACAAGAGCACTGCTGTTGTAGAGTGTACCAAGGTGAGGTCCAGAAAGAGATAGAAAGGTATGAAGCTTGTTGAGGTAACATTTAAACCTTGGCCTTGTAAGCACTGAACGGATTATTAAATTGCCCAATGAATGTCCAATAAAGCTTTAAGAGAAAGAAAAAGTCATTTCTTCCACAGTATTAGTTTTAAGAGCAAAAATCAAAGCTGATACACTATACGTAGATGTGAAATACTAAGAATTTGAAAATTTCTAATATGCTTTAAAATTATGTTTTGATACTTTGAAATGACGTATTTTTGAAGGAAAAAATGTGAGAATGTTATAGAAGATTCCATTATCATATAACTTAAATGTTTATAGAAACAAAATATTTATTAGAAATTTTTATTCAGACTTTGTAACTGCTTAGAAATAAATACATTTTAAAGACAATAATTACTAGATTATAAATCTGTCTCCTTAGGCACACACACAAATTATTTACTTGTTAAGCCATAACTTCAAACAAAATAATGAAATTGTACTCATAAGGACAACTTAGGAGAAATTATATATCTGTTTCTCTTATTCTCTGGTCTGCATTTCAAAGTTGGGCAAGTTTTCAACTAACAGTATTTTCAAGGCACAGGTATTATATGTGCATTTTCCTTTAATAAATCTATGATACAAAAAGAGTAATATTTATAGAGCACTTCACTTTTATTATGGGATAGTTTAAATCAAAAGAGTCTTTTTTACTTACCATTATTTTATAATAGATGGTATAAAATCCCTGGGGACAATTAGCAGTGAAAGAAGAGAGCATGGAAGCCGTCTAAACATTGGTTTACAGATAAATCTAATGAGAAGCTCAGGACAAACTTCCCTACCAAACTGAAGTTCCTAAAGGAATGGGGTGGGAATTATGGTGGTATAATAGGAGCTAACAGTCTACTATCAACCAGATCATGCTTTTGGAAAATAGTAGATTGTAACTGACAATCTGAAAGAGCTAATACTTTTATGGATGAATGAAAAAATTGAATATATTATTTTTCTCATTGAAAATAATAAATGTATAAAAGGAATACAAGATCACTGTAGAAAATTTAGTAATCAAAAAATATTTTAAAATCCATAAATGAAAAGAATAATTAGAACAAAAACGTCTCCTTCCAACATACCTGCACCTCTTACCTTATTTTAACAGAATTCTATTTTTAAAGAATAACTTAAAGTAAAAATTGCTTATCTCTCCTCTTAGTCTCTACACTTCAAACTGGAAACAAACTTTACAAAAGCTTATGGTATACAGAGCTAGCTTCTTCCTCTAGTTGGGATACGAATGTAATCAGTTTAACTCTATCCTTTTTGAAGCAGGAAGATTAGTTTTGCCTTTTTCTTTAATTTCTACTGGACTAGCAGAAACTAAGACTTTTTTCTCTCCCATATCTGTTCACAATATCTAATTAAATAAGAAGATATATTGGTGTGATCATCATCTCTTGCTCGTGGAAAACGGACTCATATTGTATACAATAGTCATAAAACTTGGAAAATATTTTTTTGTTTCATATACAAACATATAAATTCACATAGCATATAATTCACCCATTTAAAATATACAATTCAATGTTTAATATATTCAGAGCCAGAGTTATAACCATCATTACTATCAATTTTAGAACATTTTACTATCTCAAAAAGAAATCCTATACCCTTTGGTTATCACCTCTCGGCCCTCATCTTCCCCAGCCCTAAGAAATCACTAATCTACTTTCTATTTCTATAATATGCTATTTCTGAACATTTCATATAAATATTATCACATAACATGGCCTTTCCCTAAAATATTTTAATTTTTTTCACTTTAAATTAATTCAGTTGTAGTTTATGTTTCATAATACGACAACACTACCACAAATTGTTTAGTTTTTCTATAATTCATAGACATATAAAAATAAATTGTGTAATATTATAGAAGTTACCTTATTTTTGAAACTGTTAAACTATATATTTGAATATATTGTATTATCTCATCCAAAAGACGATCAGTCATGCTATCGAAATCAGCAAAAGTATCATTCTAAAAAAAAACCAAAACAGACACATTATAGTCTGAAATATGTATAATGACACGAAAAACTGAATATAAGCATTATTTTTAATTTAGATATTGAAAATATGGTTATGTCCAGTTTTTAAAGAGATGTTAGTAAATGTAATATTCATTATATTAAAATAGCAAAACGGTCAGGTGTGGTGGCTCATGCCTATACTTTAGGAGGCCCAGAGGGGAGGACTGCTTGAGTTTAGGAGTTTGAGAACAGCCTGAGCAACATGGTGAGACCCCTGTTTCTACAAAAATAGAAAAATTAGCCAGGCGTGGTGGCACATGCCTGTAATACCAGACACTCTGGAGGCTGAAGCAGGAGGATAGCTTGAGCCCAGGAATTTGAAGTGCAGTGAGGTATGATCCTGGCACTGCCTGGGTGATAGAGCAAGACCCTAGGGAAAAATAGTGAGTTTCTAGAGGGAAAAATGCTCAGTGTTCTTAATAACACTTGCTTCTTTTAGTTATTTTTTAGTCCACTGCCAGTATTAATATTTATAATGGTTCGATTAAAGAAATACTTGTATAGAAACGTGAAATTCTATAGATTATGTCATATGTGAAGAGAAGAGCTTATAAGTAAAAATGAACATATATATTTCCTTTGGATATGAACTTATGTTAAATTTCATAGAAATCAGAAAAATTATTTCTACTAGGCATTTGATACAAACATTTAGGTAGAAACTGGTACAAAATGTTTGTTTCCACTGAAAATACTGCCATATTATACCTGATTTCTCTCAGACATAAGAAAATCAATTCTTCCCCCAGGCAGTCCAAGTTCAATATAAGTTTTTACTAATCGGAGATCTGCACTGTTACCTAGAAAATGAAAAATGATGTTTAAAGGATGAGATAAAGTAAAGGTACAAAGTGTACTATCATACACTTTTACAGTTTTTGGAGACAAGTTTATGGTCTATGCCATTTATGAACAGACAATATGCTCTGAAATAAAGAGGTCTCAATTTTTATGTCAAAGCTAATTTCTATTAGCCAGATAATGTCATTCAACAGTTTGTTTCTTAGGTGGTTTTGGTCACATCGATGCTTCACTTTTCTACCTAACGGTACGTTTGTTTACCAAACTGTTAGAGCATCACTTTGGCGACTGCTGGCTATCGTAGCTATAAATGACTGACTCCTTACCATCACCATTCTAGGTGATCATTTAAAAAACCACTGAATGCATTTTAGATTTGTATTTAATTTGTTGACTTTCGTGGGTACTGGTACACACTGAGAAAAATCTATTTAAATATCTTAGTTTATTTTAATAATTATTAACTCAAGAGATATATAAAAATATATTTATGATACAGATATAAAATATAAGGGATCTTCAAAAAGTTCATAGAAAATGTATATTAGGAAAAAACTATGCATGGACTTCAAAATTTTTTCTTACCAAAATAAACTCACACTAATTTGTTATAACATGTCTAAACAGGATCTGGTTTGAGGCACTAGGAAGAATAAGACATCAGTTTGAAAAGAGCCCCTATGAGAGTAACACAAATTCTGCTAAAATTGAAGAACAAGCATCAAATTTAAGGCGAAGCTTGGGTAGAAGAATGGTGAAACCACTGATGCTTTACAAAAATTTCATGGGGATAATGCCCCAAAGAAATCAGTAGTTTATAAATGAATAACTTGTTTTAAGAAGGGACAAGACAATGTTGAAGATAAAGCCTGCAGTGGCAGATCATCCACATCAATTTGTGAGGAAAAAATTCATCTTGTTTGTGCCCTAACTGAAGAGGACCAATGATTAAAAGCACAAACAACAGACATCTTAGACATCTAAGTTAGTTTAGCTTACATAATCCTGACTGAAGAATTAAAGTTGAGAAAACTTTCCAATAGACGGGTGCCAAAACAGTTGCACCCAGATTAGCTGCAGACAAGAAAAGAGCTTTCAGTGGAAATTTTAAACAAGTGGGATCAAGATCCTGAAGCATTTCTTTGAAGAATTGTAACAGGAGATGAAATGTGGTTTTACCAGTACAATCCTGAAGACAAAGCATAATCAAAACAATGGCTATCAAGAGGTGGAAGTGGTCTAGTCAAAGCAAAAGGGGACAGGTCAAGAACAAAGGTTGTGGCAACAGTTTTTTGGGATGCTCAAGGTATATTGCTTGTTGACTTTCTGGAGGGCCAAAGAATGATAACATCTGTTTATTATGTGAATGTTTTCAGAAAGTTAGCCAAAGCTTTAGCAGAAAAACATCCAGTAAAGCTTCATCAGAGTCCCTTTCAATCACCATTACGCTTCTCTCTTCCTCTCATCAAACAAGGGCAGTTTTGTGAGAGTTTCAATGGGAAATCATTAGGCATCCACTTCACAGTCCTGACTTGTCTCCTTCTGACTTCTTTTTGTTTCCCTATCTTAAAAAATCTGTCAAGGGCATCCAGTTTTCTTCAGTTAATAATATAAAAAAACTGCACTGGCATGGTTAAATTCCAGGACCCTCAGTTCTTTAGAGATGGACTAGATGGCTGGTATCACCGCTTACAAAACTATCTTGAACTTGATGGAGACAATGCTGAGAAATAAAGTTTATGTTTTTTAAATCCATTTTTCTGTGAACTTTTTGAAGTCTCCTTGTATATAAATATAATTATCTTTAAAAATTAGTTTAGTGGATTTTTAGTTGATTCCTTTGGTTTACTAGCAAAAAAACATGTCATTATCAATTGTTAAATTTTTATTTTACTTTTCTAATATTTACCTTTTAGATATTTCATGATTTAATGCATTGATGGAGATAACTGATTTATTCCTGGTTTTAAAAGGAACACCTCCAGTGTATACTTACTACTAAGTACAAGTTTTCCGTGGGCTAGAAATATATATGCTTAATCACATTAATGAACCATAGGCCAGTCCTATTTAAGGTCAAAGTTTTATGCTTAGTTGTCATAATTAGAAATGAATATTAAATTTATCAATAGTTTCTTACTTCATTTGCTTATGTAGTATATTTTATTAATAAATTTCTTTATATTTACTTATCTTTGTATTCTGGGAATTAAACTCTATTTGTTGTAGTAACTTATTTTAATATGCTAATTCCATGTGCTAGAATTTTATTAAGTACATTTATGAGTTTGTTCCGTATGTCAGATTGTCTACTGTTTATCTGGGGTGTCGATTTGATACCTTTATCAGATTTGGTAACAAGTTTAGGTTACCTTAAAGGAATAAAATGGGCTGCATTCTGTCTTTTTTTCTATTGTTCTAGAACAATTTATGTAACATAGGGATAACTGATTTCGTGAAAATTTCAAAGAAAAATTTGCCAGCAATTCCACTGGGCCAGGAAGTCTTTCTTGGGGGACTAATTCTTTGAAAATTTTGGCCGGGCGCAGTGGCTCACGCCTGTAATCCTAGCTCTCTGGGAGGCCGAGGCGGGCGGATTGCTTCAGCTCAGTTCGAAACCAGCCCGAGCAAGAGCAAGACCCCGTCTCTACTAAAAATAGAAAGAAATTAATAGGACAACTAAAACTATATAGAAAAAAAAATTAGCTGGGCATGGTGGCACATGCCTGTAGTCCCAGCTACTTGGGAGGCTGAGACAGAAGGATTGCTTGAGCCCAGGAGTTTGAGGTTGCTGTGAGCTAGGCTGATGCCACGGCACTCTAGCCCGGGCAAAAGAGTGAGACTCTGCCTCAAAAAAAAAAAAAAAAAAAAAAAAAAAAATTTTATGTAGGGAGGAGGAAGAAAGGTTAGTATTGAGCATTTTTTTTTTCCTGAAAAGCCGGGTGGGGTTTTTTTTTTTTTTAAAGAAAATCTCCAATTTTATGACAATTCAGTAGCACTTTAGCATTTTTATAATCCTTAAAATCTAGTTTGTTGTTATAGAATCTTATTATAACACAGTAATACCCCATTAGTCTAGAGAGATATTTAGCATCTTCTAACAGTTTCTACATCTAGGAAAAAAACTGTTGAGTAACCAAAATAGCTGTCATAAAACCATGGCACTAAAGCCAGGTACCTGTATTTAGAATTTAATTTATATCTTAATTAATTAATGAAAGTTTATTAAACTTGATTTTTCTAGTCCATATGGTTTAAAGCAAGCTAAAAGGGAACTAGGAAGACTAGCAAAGGGAGACAAAATAATTGCCCCGAGGTGAAACTGACAAAACCAACAGTAAGAGAGAAGACAATAAAATCTAAAATTAAAGTAAACAAACTGTTGGCACATGAGTGTCAATTCCATAGAAAATTTATTTAAAAAGGAACCTAATTTTACATTTAGAAAAAGTAAAATTAAGCATATTTTTGTTTTAAAATGTATTTAAGATTCAATTAATTTAAGCAATGTAAAAGTCTTTTTTAGTAGAAAGATTAAATAAAACTAAGTGAGATCCATCAGGAAAAGAAAATATATTGAGTTGCTATGGGTTACATGAATAGATGTCACATACCATCTAAACCATGCACACAGACAATGAGATGTACTCCATCTTCAGAACCATCCTCTTCTTCCAGGCTAAAATAAGGTACTGAGGATGCCAGCAGAGGAACATCACTGTACATGAACCCAGGAAGTTTAAGTTGCTTCAATTCTTCTTTTGCCTGAAGGAAGCTGAAGTAAAATATTATGAAAGATATCCTTTACTAAGGATCTTATTCAGTTTTTAGAACCAAAAAGATAAACTCCTGGATTTAGAGAATAGCAGAGGAGGAAATCCAACAATATTTGGTTTTAAAATCATGAAAATATGTAGTATCACCTAAATGATTTAGAAATCAGAAGGTAATTTTCTTTACTATTTTTAGTGCATCTTCTGATCAAATACAATGAGCATTTTAAATGTGAAATCACCTATAACATTCTTTTAAACTTGAAATCAACTAAGAAAATATTAGGAGTCAAATTATGCTTTCTATAAAATTTAATACTGTATGCATAGAAGAGCTGGGAGAGGCACTAGAAAGTTGATAATCAGATGTTTTCCTGTAATCAAATCTTATCCTCTTTGCTCCTTTTAATCTTACATAAATGGAAGGGAAGGAGCTATTCTACAAAATTTAACAGTAAAGTTGGTTAAATTATTTTTATTTTTCTCTAAAAATATCAATAAGAAGGAGCAGAACAAAAAGGAGGATGTGACTAAATCAAATTGGTGGCATATACTCATTTGGAATGACTGACAAATCCAACCAATTTGGGGACTTCAAACTTCAGAAAGTATTAGCTATTTAACATTAAATTATCTATACTGATAAAAGTGAAACTGAAAGAAGCTGATGAACACCAAACTGAATAGGATACACTGGGTGAAAACATAGAGATCATTGCTTTCTGATGACTCAGAGATAGTTTGAGGTACTCAGCTTTCTAGCATACTATAATTTTTTAATCAGTCATTGTCACTTCACTGGTTTCACTAGCTTTAGGCTCTAAGCAACTTAATTTTCATGCATTAATCAGAATAATCTGGGAACTTTAAAAATCCACATAACACATGCCCAGACTTCTCACTCCAGAGATTATGATTCAATCTGGGCTGAGACAGTAGAATATTTTAAAAACCAGCATATGCTAGTAAACCTACGTAATCTCCAAATTTTTCTGGATATTTTACTGGTCCATGAAACCTCAGTTCTGGAAACCACCAACTTAGCAGAGGCAATTAGGGACTGGTAGGTTTAAGAAGTTTCTATTAACCTGTTATTCACTTATCTAATATTGTCCTTATTTCCTAGATACAGTCATAAAACTTAGCTTTTGTCTGTGAGAGAAATAAGATACTGATGAAAAAAGGGTTTTAACCTCAATTATTCCATAATTCTAACACAAAATTACCAATAGAAAATTTGTATCAGGAAGGTGTAGCCTTTAGAACAGGACAATTATTTGGGAACTATAGATCTATCTGTGAAAGAATATATTGCATGTCTCCCTTTTAGATAGCTAATCAAAGAACTTTTTGTATTACAGAAACTGGAAAACAAAATAGATATTCAACCATTTAGTACTATTTATGATGATATATATATATAAAACATATATATATGTGTGTGTGTGTATATGTATGTATTTAGTAGCATATACTATTGTGCTCCATTACTTACGCTTGTATCTGAGGTTTTGGTGAATTTTCATACCAGGAAATTGAAGAAGTGACGTTGTAAGAAGTACTGCTTGGTTGTTTTGTAATGGCATCAAATTTACTTTTAGAAGAATATTTAACACTACAAGGAGACTCTCGTGGTGCAGATGGGAAAGACAAACAACTAGAAGTACAGACAGTAGGCATATTTATACCATCACTCAGATAGTCACTATTTATTTTTTCAGATTTTTTAAGTCTTTCTTCTGCTAGTGTACTTCTGCTTGTATAGTGAGCATTTATTGTTCCGTCCAAAGCTGAATAAACTGTTTCTTCATAATACCCATTTTGAACCATTTTTTGATCCTGCTCTTCCTCCTCATCCTCTTTACCCTGTTCCTGCTGAAGATTACTAATTTCTTTTTCAGAAGTTTCCTTCTGAAGGCTAACTGAATTACTGTAGCTACTAGCATATGTGCCAGAAATATCCGTACTGCTTTGAGAACCAAAATAATTTTCCACAAGCCCTTGCTTTACTATATCAGTACCGGCTGAAAAAGGGTCACTTGTATCCAGATGAGTTTCACTTTCAACTGTAGGGGCTTCTGAATATATTTGCTTGAGATTTAATGCATCACTATTTTTTCTTTTCACAGTTCTATCTTCACTAATTTCTGTATTAGTAGAAATGGAACCTGAAACGACACAGGAAGTGCCTAAACAAATCAGTTTTGAATTTAATGTAACTGCTGTCCCTGCAGAGTTATGAGATTTATCAGGACTCTGGGAGCCTGTACACACAGTGTCCAAGTTAGGTTTGGAGCTGCAACTACTTTTCACATCACTGGAAGTATCTTCCTCTGAAAAAACAAATTGTAAAGAGTCTTTAGTGCTTGAATTTAAGGAATGTATTGCTAAAGTCTCATTGTCCAAATGCCCTGAAAATACAACGCTCTGCTGTTGCAAAATAATACTTGACTTTTTAGTATCATCACATTTTGGCAAATCAATTGTTCCTAGATTTAATGCAGTTTTGCTATCGCTTAGATGGCATTCAGGTAGAATAGATTTCTTAGAATTTTCATCGGGTGACAGTTCATCATCAGAAGGTAGAGAGTTTATGGATGTCAAAGATGACTGTATTTCACTTAAAGCACTCGTACTCTCAGTGCAATGACTCCCCAATGAAAATTTTACATTATAATCAGGTTTCATCAAAAGCTGAGGAAATAATCTTTCATTATTGTAAAGACCTTGCCCTTGCACAGTTTCAAAGACTATGTCAGGGTTTGGATGTGTTGCAAAAGAACTTGGTTCACTTTCAACACCTGAATCTGAAAATCTAGATGAGGCATATGTGGCATTACTATCTGGTAACTTAATTGTATCTCCACTTACTACAACATGATATTCTTTTGTAGAAGTAGCAGGTAGATTACTTCTTAATTTAGCTAATGATTCTCCAACAGAACGACACTTTGCTTCTTGTAAAGCTTCCTTTTCAAGTGTTACTTCTATAGATTTAGATTTACCATTAGATTCTAAGGACTCAAAGTTGGGTAGTAAATTATCCACAAATATTTCATCTTGTCGAAGCTCTGTCCAAGGTCCCATTTTAACAGTTATTTTCTCCCCACTGAAAGGATCTGTATTACTGGGCTTTACTTCAGTTGTTCTAAATTCCAAAGCTGGGGTTGTTTGATGATCATGGCAATCATCTGATGAACTGGATGCCAGATTGTGTTCCATTTGTGTAATTTCACTATCGTCCTGGGAGATATCAAGTTTACCTGAAACGGACAAATTTGCACAAAGATTTAAGTTGCCAGAGTTCAAAGGATCAAACTGGTCTGGTTGCATATTTTCAATATCTGGAGACTTTTGTTCAGTTCTGTCTGTATTAGTTGGCAAAGAGCTAGCTTCCTTTTGACTTGTCTGTCTCATGTAGGTTTTTGGGTCAAAATTATATCCACATATTGTGGGATCCAGACCTTCCTTCTGACTATGTGAAGGATTGCTTTCAAAGCATTTAGTGAGATCATTTGATGCTGTATTTTTCAAACATTTGTAGCCTACCAAAACCACAGAATCCTTAGAGTTCTGTTTTATTAATTTTTTTGTGCTTTCAGGTTTCATTGTTTTCATAAGCTTAGTAACCTTAACCTTGGATTTATTTGTTTCTTCATTCTTTCCTTTTAGAGATTTTGTTAGCTGCTTTTCACCTTCTGTATACCAAATATTGGAGGCACCAGCAGGTCTGACTTTCAACTCTGGGCTAGAAACTCCTGCTACAGAGCTTTCTTCAGTCTCATATTTATCCATTTTACTGGACTCTGATCTCTGAAGATTCTGAATTCCCATCCAGGGTGCATCTAAGTCTTTTATCCAAAGAAAAAAAAATTCAGGTTTAAAACATAGTGTGAGAACTTATATGATTAAGACTACTTTTTCTAACTGTATCTTTCTAATATTCTCAAAAATAAATAAAACTACAGGGGGAAAGCACTGTTCCACATTAGGGAATGGTTTTACGCATATTAGGAAGAATATACTGAAAACTATACACATAGCTTGTATATTTTAGTTAGATTATACTTACCGTCAATAACTGAATCTAAATACCTATCTTCAAAGATTATAGGTAATGAATTGAGATCTCCATCTAATTCACTACATTCAATAGGTAGGGGTGGAAGAGAACTGCAGAAGGAAGTATTTTTGATAGCGGTGCACATCTGTAGATGACTCTGAGCACTGAAAAATATTTCTTAAGTCAGATTATAATTTAAAAAAATTACACCCAACACTATTTACAGACTCTACTCTGTCCCCTTCCCCCTATCATTCCTATCTCCCTTCTTGAAGACAAAACCTCCTTATGAAAAAGCTGCTTGGTGAGAGATAAAAAGTGGTAAAATGAAAATTATAGTTTTTTGGCAATAAATTATTGATTTACAAAATTGTGGTTTGTTAATAAATTACTTAATTTCTATTATATTCTTCTCTACTTTATGTTATTTCAAAGTGAGTCTCTATGCTTAATGCCTGAACTTCCTAATCTGCTGCAAATAGCATATAGGAGAAATACCAAAAGCTCAAATGCTCACTGATATCTGATGATAGTGCTGGGAAAAAAATGTGTTCCATTGTCACTGCTTTACTGAATATATATTGATGAATAAAATTAATAGCTATTTAAAACAAGGTATATAACTTTCTAATATAAAACACTTAAAAAGACTTCTCTTGTGGAAAATTTTGAACGAATCAAAGTAAACAGAATAGTAGTAAAAAATCCCATATACCCATCACCCAGCTTCAACAATTAACATAGCCCTTCTTGTTTTATCTACACCTCAAGACTCACTACCTACTCCTACCTCTACTATTATTTCCAGCTTTTTGAAGTATAATTTAAATGTATTGAATTACAAAAATCTTAGCTGTATGATTTTGACAAATGGGTACATGATACAGAACATTTCCATCTACTCAGAGAGTTCCTTTGTGTCTTCCCAATCTCTCAGCCCAAGTCAATGCCAAGACAACCACTGTCTTGACTTTTTTCACCTCAGTTTTACCTGTTTAAGAACTTCATATAAATAGAATCATACAGTATTTACTCTTTTATGTCTAGCTACTTTTGCTCAGCATAATGTCCTCAAAATTTCTTTAAAGTCAAAGAAAACCAGACCTAAATATACTCAGTGGGAAAGACGGAAGGCATTTATTCAGGATATTTTAACTGTAAATCATTTACATTGCAGAAGGCAGTACCTATGAAAATCTGTAATAAAAAATGGTGAATGTAACAGATGCTGACCTGTGAAAACAAAGATAGGGCAAGATAGCCAAATGGAAGGCTGGAGCCAGAGACGTATGGGACTACCAGGTTACAGTAGATCTGATAAAAAAGAGGAGGAAGTGGTACAGTGCATTATGGTTCTTCATGTGTAAAGTATCGGGCTTTCATGAAGTAATTCATAAGATTAAATTCTATTTGATTAAAAAGGGGACTTCTGAATTTCAAATTCTCCTAATTTCTTCTATTGTTAATAATGTATATTCTGTCATTGATAAATTCTAAGACAGATATCTTATGTTAAAGGAAATAAAATCACTTTGATTTTGGATTTATACTACTCACTGAAGTTCCTGGTATGCAATGGCAGCTTCTCTTGGATGTTCAAAACAAAAGAATGCCTCAGAAAATCTGCGTACCTAAAAAATTCCAAGACAGAGCATTAATAACATGGTACATTTAAAAAGTCAATCTGGCATTGGACGATAGGGAGAGAAACCACCTCCATTAGACCTTCCATAACCACCCTGTGAGAATTAAACTTCCTTTCTCCCTCTTCGGTGTTGCCAAAGCACTTATTTTTGTACTGCATGAAATAAAAGAAACAACAGACTTTAGAGTGAGAAATTTAGATTTACATTCTAGATCCCACTTACCCTCCTTAGAGGCAAAGATTGTTTGTCTTATTTGCCACTACTTCCTTAGTATACCTGGAATAGTGCCCACTCAACACATGGAGAAGACAATACAATCAGATAGCACTTCCACTCTATGTGCCAGCCATCCAACCATGTGCCAGCTGAACTGACTGACTTTCTAGCATTGTGACTTTAGGTATTTAATCTTTGAGCCTCAGGTGACTCATTTTTAAACTAAATCTAACACTTATCCTATATATAAGGTTATTGTGAAGAACAATGTAATTTATGTGATAACAGTTTGTAACCAGGAAAGCAGATATAAATATAAGCTATTGTGATTGCCTTTATAGCATTCACATTTTGCCTCAAAATAATTGTATACATGAAACATCTACCCTCCTAAAGTGTAATGTTCTTTAGAGTAGGAACTGTTTTGATAACCTTTATATTCCCCAAAACATGTACCTTGGCATGTTACAAAAGCAAGCACTTGGTAAAAGCTTGTTGAATCTAGCTGAATATTTCTTCCATCATATTTATATTTTAACCCTTTCATTTTTAATTATGAAAGGAAAGGCTCTCTGAGCTACTGGAACAATGTTAAGCAACAGAGATGGAAAAGATGTCTTGTGTGGACAGTACAGAGCAGGGACAGTAATTACATTAAATCTTGAAATTATATTATATCTAAGACTCTTTCCTAAAGGGAATATGATCTAGGGTTCTTTGGTTTTAAATGTACAATGAATTAGGTATGTATTTTACTTGTCATCAAGGTCTGGCCAGATTAATTTCTGACTTACTAAACTTCTTTCCCTAAGTAGATGAGCCTGAATCTTCACAGGAACAAGTCAATGAGGAAGGCTGGGAAAGCAAAGCATGATTCTTTAATGACAAGGATGCAATCTATGTCTTTACTTTCAAATGCTGTCCAATTGCCTCTTCTTTCTCTCCAACACTAAGGGAAAGGACAGATAAAGTATTGACCTGTCAGCCTATCTACTAGAGATGTTTTCCCTGGAGGCTATAAAGTGTAGGGGGCTTTAAGTTATCTGGATTCCTACAGTTGTAGCTGGGAGTACAAAACTCCCAGCTAGTTGCTTTTCCCTCTCTACCTTCCCTAAGTCCTATAATAACTATCATTTCTTTTTTTTTTTTTTTTTTTGAGACAGAGTCTCACTCTTTTGCCCGGGCTAGAGTGAGTGCCGTGGCGTCGGCCTAGCTCACAGCAACCTCAAACTCCTGGGCTCAAGCGATCCTCCTGCCTCAGCCTCCCGAGTAGCTGGGACTACAGGCATGCGCCACCATGCCCGGCTAATTTTTCTATATATTTTTAGTTGTCCAATTAATTTCTTTCTATTTTTAGTAGAGACGGGGTCTCGCTCTTGCTCAGGCTGATTTCAAACTCCTGAGCTCAAACAATCCGCCCGCCTCGGCCTCCCAGAGAGCTAGGATTACAGACATGAGCCACTGCGCCCGGCCAACTATCATTTCTTGACAGTATCTTACCTAGTAGGCTCTATTTTCATTTCTTAATTTTCACTTTTTCCTTTAAATTGTATCAAAATCCTATAGAGTAGATATATTTATTTAACAAGTGAGGAAAATAAGGCACAAAGAGGTTAATTACTTGGCAAGGATAAGACAGCTAATAAGTGATAAACCTGGGATTCAAATAAAAATTTAAGAAACTCCAAATCTTGTGCTCCAGACCACTTATCTTTTCCTTTCTGCATTAAGAATCCCTGTTACCAGAAAATCTTTCCATTTCTGTACGCACTCATATATGAACTTCTCTAAATTCTCTCCCACCATGATGATCATGCTGCAGCAATGTGTGATGAATAAACCTATTAACTGTAGAGTGTGGCCATTACTAAGGTATGACTGCCACCTGATGGTAATACAGCTTAATTTTAGGCAAAAGACATATAAAGAAAAAAAATGTTAACTTTACAAATTTAAACTTAGAATATGAGGAATATATATTACTGCTTTTGGTATATATGTTTACAAAAAATCAGGGATGTGTGTGTATTTTTTTTAATTCACTTATTTGACAACATCAACTGTTCAAAATTAACCAAAGAGCTACAAGGAAAAAACTGAGCATTCAAAAATGGGTATTTATTGATACTTTATAAAGTTAAATGCCCTCTTATCTGTGTATGACCTAATATATTACTAAAATTGCTAACACAGTACTTTTTACAATACAATTTTATATGTGCATATCCATATTGGATTCTAATCCTGAATGCAGGGTCTGCATCTGAGAGATCACGATATCTATGTTGCCTTGAAAAAAGAAGGTGTCTTGCAAATGTTACTGAGCAAATGTTAAGCCCTTGCATTATACTTATAGCAAAATACCATAAAGTCCTTTTATTGCACAATGCTGACTTATATTTACTATCTGATACAATTCTGCATGGTTTAAGCATCCGGTTTCTCAATCCACTGCACATTAAAAGAGAAAATTAGACAAAGGAAAATGAAGAACTATAGAGGTAAGTGTACATAGGCAGTTACAAGAAATGATGAGAACTTGATGTGGAAAACAAAAGCCCCCCTTAAAAAAGAACCCTAGACATCCCTATAAAAAAGCACACAAAAGAAATTAAATTAATATAACTTGGGACCTTTTAATTTTAATGGAGGATCAAATATCCCATCATTTTTTATAGCATGGAACACTAGTGTATTAAAGTTGAGCACATTAAATAAAATTTATAATGATACTAAATCATTGTGAAAGGGCTAAATTATGTTCAGTACAGGCATACCTCAGAGACCTTGTGGGTTCAGTTCCAGACCATGGCAATAAAGTGAGTATCTCAATAAAGCAAGCCGCATGAATTTTTTTGTTTTCCAGTGCATATAAATGTTTATACTATATGGTTGTCTATTAAATGTACAATAGCATTATGTCTAGAAAAATGTACACACCTGAATTAAAAATACTTTACTGCTAAAAAATGCTAATAGTCATCTGACTCTTCAGTGAATTATAATGGTTTTGCCAGTGCCTCCATGTTGATGGCTGCTGACTGACCAGGGTGATGATTGCTGAAGACTGGGGAGGCTGGGGCAATTTCTTAAAATAAGACAACAATGAAGTTTGTTGCATTGATTGACTTCCTTTCATGAAAAATTTCTCTGTGGCATGTGATGCCTTCTGATAGCATTTTATCCAGAGTATAACTTTCTTTTAAAATTGGAATCAATCCTCTCTAACCTTGCCACTGCTTTATCAACTAATTTTATGTAACATCCTAAATCCTTTGTCATTTCAACAATATTCACAGCATCTTTACCAGGAGTAGATTCCATCTGAAGAAACCACATTTTTGCTCATCTGTAAGAAGCAACTCCTCATCCATTCAAGGTTTATTATGAGATTGCAGCAATTCAGTCACATCTTCAGGCTCTACTTCTAATTCTAGTTCTCTTGCTATTTCCACCGCAGCTGCAGATGAAGTCTTGACTCCCTGAAAGTCATCCATGAGGTTCTGAATCTAAACTCCTGCACATGTTGATATTTTGATGTCCTACCACGAATCACGAATGCTCATAATGCCACCTAGAATGGAGAATACTTTCCAGAAGTGTTTCAATTTACCCTTCAATTTGCCTAGATCCATCAGAGGAATCGCTACCTATGGCAGCTGTAGTCTTACAAAATGTATTTCTTAAATAATAAGACTTGAAAGATAAAATTACTCCTTAATCCATGGCTGCAGAATGATGTGTTAACAGGCATGAAAATAACATTAAATCTCCTTGTAAATCTCCATCAGAGCTCTTGAGTGACTAGGTGCATTGTCAATGAGCAGCAATATTTTGAAAAAGTCTTTCTTCCTGAGCAGTAGGTCTCAACAGTGGGCTTAAAATATAGGCAGTCCACAGGGTATGGACAAAATATGTTCCTGATATGTTTTTAGGTTGAATTTGTATGTAACCTGGATGCCTGATGAATAGCACATATATGGTAATAATAATACTATAATGGCTCATATGTGGTAATAATAACAGTGTGTAATACTATAATAATAAAACCCTTGTACTGTAATATTAATAAGTTACAGAGACTATTATGCTCTTTCTTTTAATTCAAACAGGACATAAAAACAAACTCATACAAAAAGTTGAGATACAGCAGAGAAATTTCAAAAAAGAATATTAGAAGTTAACATTCACCTAATGTTGCATCAACGCTATGCTAATAGGAATGTTACGCTTATTTTGATCTAACCAAATCAATTAATAACCTTTCCATTTCAATAATGAATTCACTATGCTGCTTAGTAATAATTGATGCTTTCATTGGAGCACTGCCGTTCACATATTCCATTATTCTCACTTTATATTTGTTACGATAGTCGAGTGACCGAAGCCTAATGCTTTCCCAGTGACTGATGCCATCTGGTATGCTTTATTATTTCTGCTTTTTGCTTCCACTGTAATCATCTTTCTCTTTGCTGCAGGCTCACCTGGACTTTCACTTTGGAGGAATGGTCATAAGGGTAAACACAGATGCACAAAATCAAATAAAAAAGATGAAGTGATGCTGTGTGTAAGCGACCATATAAACAATGAGACTAGCTGCTAGTGTAAAGATGCTGTGCCAACGAACCGCTTATGCCATGCGGGTTTGTCTACATGCACAGAAGAAACTATTTCCTGAATTATTAATTTAATTATAAATTATCCTTATGGGGAGTCTTGGGAGCTGATTTGTAAGTACGGAACACCATAAATTGGGTTGTCTCTAACCC